TGCCTGCAGCGCCCAGGGGCTGCGGCCCCGCAACGGCTCTGCCAAACCCGCCGCACCTTCTGAGGATTGACAAGCCGAGCACAACACTGTCACGGCTGCCAGTTTAACCAAGTAATGGGATTACTCAGATAAAAATGCACCCTAAATCATGCCGCATAACTGTAGCTAGCGATAAAATGTAGAGCAAATTATTGAGGTTTAAAGAATTTGACACAGCAAAGCAGCGAGAAGTGCATTCAGTAATTCAATATAGCCTTCAGTTACAGACTTCCTCTGGCAGAAGAGCAAATACAAGGGAACAGTCTGTCTTAAATCAAAGAGGTTTCTCTAAAGCCTATGTTAATAATAGCGCAAGCAAGCCTATATTTAGGAGAGGATTTCCAGGTTATAATTAACTAGAAATAGAAATATTTTAACCAGCGTGAAGTTTTATCTATTGTTCACACACTCTATTTCTCTGTCACTGAAACAAACACAAGCACACGCACAACACGCTTTTCATCAAACTAAGCAAATACTGGGCAGAAAAGGAGATGGAAAAGAGTCCTTTAGATGACAGTGAAGTACACGTGCTAATAATTAGGCAGTTTTGCAAATGCTCTAAGAAACATTGGTAAATTTAAAAAACAGAAGGGAAGCAAGAATGCCCCACGGCAAGTACGAGCAATACGGGCCAACGTGCAGTCAAACCAGCAACGGGCTTCTCTAAATGGCGGCCAGCTTCCTTTTCCAATGAAAAAGTCCAGAAATCATATGAGTAACAAATCATCCATATCCAAGCTCATGGATGGTGTTGACAAACTAAATAAGGCAGATCTCCACTGAAATATACTCCAGATCGGGGTGTCGGGGGGGGAGTAAAGTACCCACACAGTAGCTCTGGGTTGGAAGCGCTGGGCAACAGGTTAACGAAGCTGAATAAGAAAGAACTAACTGAAAGAGTTAACCTTCAATTAACGGAATGAATTAACTTCAGAGTCCCTCCAAGCACACTCCTCACGGAATAAGGCTATTTTGAGGATTAAGAATATTCTTCCATTTGTGATTAGACTCTCCAGATACAGACTGTTTTTCAGCTTTACTGCACTGCTGCACTCAGAACAGGCGATACCACTGAGATGCTGGTGGTGTGGTGTCTGGTTTACAAAGCACTATGCAAGCTGGCAAGGCTTAAACTTCCCCCACAGCCCGCCAGTTGACCTCTGAAAGAAACAGGTACCAAAGTTCTGACCTAGTCATGTTCCTATAAAACTCTCAAGTTGTATTTTAAAGAGTGGGAATAAGAACACATATCACAAAGTAGCCTCTGCTCGACTGCCGCAGCAGTTCCCGGGGTATCCGTGCCCATTCAGTTCACTCTGTACCTACAGACAGACACTGCGTACATCTATAGCATTGCCATTGCACATCTCCAGCTGTGTCTGCTATTTAGGAAAGCTGTTAACCAGGTTCTACCAGGGGACAGTGACTGTCCTTGATGTTTCTGTCATCAAACAATCCATTCTGAGAAATAAGCATTTCAAGATCTATAAATGTACATCACCACATGCCAGAACAACCCCCTGGAGACAATATCTGCTCATTCTATCCTGTAAAACATCCCTGGCTTTAGAAACAGTTCAACCCAGTACTGTGCAGATGGGGGAATTGTGGTATTTCAGCAACGAGGACTGTTCTGGCAGGAACTGCCATCCCTTGATTTTGTAAGGACTGGAAATTCCCATGAAGTACTTCCCTTCCTTTTTACTCAACTCTAAAGTAGAAACTCTCTCTCATAAAGACAGAATCAACTGCACAACAACAAACCATACACACAAAAATCATGGCATACTGTTAAGAAGAACCGCCTGCCCCACGTCTCCCTCCAGCCGCCGGCCCAGGCGATGTGAAGCACCTTCACAACGTCTGTTCCATATTCTGCCGACAGCGAAACAGAAGATCATCCCCACACAAGTGGGGAGGAGTCAGATCCCAGCACACCCAGCAGCTGGCAGGCGCTGGCTGAGGGACGAGCAAGTGCTCCACTTGCATATATTACTGAGTAGTACTTACTGCCCACATCTCCCTCCAAAGATTAACTGGGGTCTCAACTATTCAGTTACAGAAAAGCAAAGGGTAAAGGCAGAGACGATGCGATCCCACTTGCAGCATGAGGACTAAAACGGCAGAGTCTGTTTCCCTGATGAAGGCAAATAAATGCTGTTCCCTGTTGTGTCACTTACAAACGTTGATTTAATTGGATTTGAACAAAGGACAGGAGGCTTACCTATATAATACAGGTCCTCTTAATATAAACTACATAAAATACTCCAGAGCTAGACAGTACCAACACAATTCTGTAAATCACAAACAACCACCAAGAGAAATAAACCCCAGAAAACACTCTGCACCAGCAGTTCAGTACTCTCCAGATTAATTACCTCAAAGCGCGCTATTTCAGACTGAAGTGTTCACAAAAAAAGCTATTTTTAAGTAAATGCTTCTGCCGATATCTCAGTGTAGACAAGTCTTTTCAGATTTTGTCAAAATCCACACTTGCGACTCAATTTGGCTTTGTAGCTACTGCAGATCAAAAAGCACCCTTGATTTCATGGTGGGCTACTCTGCTTAACACAAACCAAACATCACCTGCATTTTTTCATTCAGTATCTGGGTACTTTAAAAGGTATTCCCTCACGTACAACAGGTGGAACTTTTAAAGCAGCAAAACACATGAATGAAACAAAATGCCAATATAAAAAAGAAATAATGAAGATACCATGAGAGGTTTCAGTGCTAAGGACTTGCTGCTGCTGCTATCTCATTTAGGAGGAGCCAGAAAGCCGATGGGATGTATGTTTTCTATTGCAGCAACCAATTTCACGAGCAGGTGATATTGTCCCAGCTATTTTCTCCCAAGCAATCACAACCTCAGGGTGCCATTTCATGGGATGTCCTAAGCCAATTTAGCTGCCTGACACGGCTGAGAAGCAGAGGTCCTGCTCCTGGCTACCTCTTCATCCCTTTCCTATCATATCCACTCCATCCTTTTAGATCCCATCACGCTGCCACTTACCTTTTGCCAAATTTAGCACATACCTGCCTGCACAATAATCCAATTCATCTCACTGCAGCAGCTGAAAAATAGCCTGGCAACAAAAGGGTACGCTGCCATTCTAGTGAGCTAAATCAGTTTACCATGTGATTAAACGAGTGCCAGAGCGAGCACAAGAGATTTGGAAGGCAGGAGGGGAGGAGGAAAGCTCCTTTTCAGAACAGTGAGCTGTGAATTCAGTTCAACCAGCATGAAAAAAAAATAAATAAATCACACCTTCAAGCCAACTGGATGCCTGCCAGCTTTGCCCATCTCACCATACTAACTGGCAAGCATCAAAGAGATCAAAGACAACCAGCTACTGTGAACTGTCTCACAACAAATTATTTGATCATCTGAACCAAAAAACAACAAGAAGCACAACAAAAATTAACCAGATTGTTAAGATCAAGTTATGATTCATAAACAACCACTGTGTCCACACATCTCTAACTAAAACTGGCGTTCCACCCTACACCACACAGGTGCAGAGTATCTGTCATGGGAGTTCTGGCACTTCCCTGGAAGCCTTTACAAACCAGAAAAACAGGCGTCTCAAACATTACCCTGGCATGTTCCTCACAGCGGTTGTTTTCAGGGAGTCTACCACAAATATTACAACTCAGCAAGCCATTAATATTAACAAATTTCACCAATCATCACCAGGTGACTGGATGTGTCAGAACAGGCACAAACCAGCAGTAAAATCCCTTCATTCACATACTCACCATCCATAAGGAGCCAGTGGCCAGTTAGGACCCAGATAAGGACAAGCATCACAGACAGAGAAAATGAGAGCAACTCAGCAGCAGTGAAACGCCCGCAGCAGCCAAAGGAAATCCTAGGAACAACATACAAACATTAGCTAGCAGACTTGATGTTTCCATTTAAAGAACAGAAAATGGATGCTGTTGGAACAAGGCTCAACTGCTGATGAAAGATGCCAAGAACAACTGAAGGGAAGTTCCTTTGCCACAAATAGGTACCAAAACAGCAACAAAATAAAAGCTTTCCTTACATTCAAATAAAGTGCGTAAAGCCTGAACTACAGAGATGGAAAAACAAACAGTAAATCCTGGCACCTCGCTTGAAATTGTTACCATGAATGCTATTTCCTAGCTCCATCTAAGACAGTGTTTTTGCAACATGAACCCCAGTCACAAGGTAAAAAAGTAGTTTCAAAACATGACATTAACAACTGTAATTTTCACTAGTGTAACTACAGTCTCTGAAAGAGCCAGCATTAAAATCCATAGTCCAACGTTAAACATTAAAATCCAATACCAAATCCCAAACTCTGAAATTTCAGCCAAAATCAGCCAAACTTCTTAAAAAAACCCCGTTGGGAAAACTAGTCCCCTGCAATGGTACCGTATTTCCCAGGCTGGCAGAAATCGTGCTTCCTAGTTTCATAGTGGAAACATAGTGCTGTCACAAAAAATAGGCACAAACATCAGCTCTGAAGCCCTGAGGTTAATGCTCATAACCAAAGACTGTTAAAGAATTCTCATTAAAAGAAAGAAATACAACATACGAGATGACGAGCAAAAGATTTCTCAAGTCCTTACTTGTTTTGAGGTGAACAAGGCCGTGTTAAGTACTGGCACATCGGGAGCAGAAGGAAAGCGAAAGCTATTGTTGCGAGGACTAGAAAAAGAAGAAAAGGTAATATTAGTACATTCAGACCTAATTTCTACAGTACACAAACAAGCTTCTCCAATTTGAAAAAGCTTTTGCAACAATGTCCTATTATCATATGCTGCAGTATTATTAAAGCAAGAGCAGTTCAAGGCTCCAAGGTTTTCTGCACAATTTCTATTGTTAGCATGCTTTCAAACTTCCACCAAAATAAAAGCTCTCAAAGGAATGCAACGCCCCAACCCAAAACCTTAAAAAAAAAGTCTTAAAGCTATTCATGATCGTGTGAGCAAGGAAAACAGTTTTCTGAGGGTCAAAAAAAAAAAAAAGAAAAAAAGAAAGAATGTACTACAAACCAGTTGTGAGATTCTTTTAACATTCTCCAACATATGGCATAGACTAAGTCAGCATAATAAAGGGGTTTTTTCCCACTTTTTAACTCAGTCAGTTTTTTTCCTTATCTCACTCAAAGCCCCTTATTCATTATAAAACACAGTACAGCTTAAAATAAGTTGTATCTAGTAGCTGGCAACTTAAATTTGTTAACATAAGAAGTGCTTAAATTTTTTGAAAATAGGACGATAAAAATACATAAATATCCAAATAAATTATTTCCATATACATTTTCTTTTTAAAGAATTATACTGTCCCACCCACACATTTGTAAAAACGTTTAGTAACTGTTGGTATTTATAATAATTTTTCCTTCCGGTTTTTGTAAAAAATAATACCACTGAATTTGCACTAAGGGCTGTTTAAAAGGCTGAAGAGTGAGGGCGTGGAGACACAGACATGTCAGCAGCACACATCCAACGCTGCTGGAGCAAGAACAGACCGAAATGAAAATGGAAGAGTCGCTCAACATTTTCTGCATGCTGCAGATCAAATCTCTGTGCCGTCCTCTATTCAGTCCTTAAAACATTGGGGTGGTTCCTGTTGGTTTTTAAAAGGGATTTTTTTTTTTTCTCTCGTCTCAAACGTAGATGATGGGAAGGAATCAAACATTCTCTTTAGCAGACACCTTAAACCAACTGGAGAAAAAAAAATTGGTTTGGTCAAACCACATCTTTCCACCCCTCAATTCTGCCCCTTCTGGTGGGAGGAAGACTTTTTTAAAAGATTAATTCATTTAATTATTTATTTTAAAAAAAAAAAAAAGTCTGTATGCAAACACCACCATGGGAACTCACAGTTCTATCAGTATTTCAGAGCGGGGGAAAAGAAGCAGAACGGGTAGGAAAAGAATGAAGAGCGTGGCAGCTCTGCACACGCTGAACTAGGAACACTTTCAGAGGTTCTTGGCCAAGAACGCGGCACAGCAAAACCTGCGCCCCTGCTGCCCCAATCCTGCACGCCTCGCCGCCTGCCTGCCCCGCTCCCTGCTCCGCCTCCGCCACAGCGGCACTGACCCGTCCTCACCCAGACCCTCTTCGCCCTTGGAATCTCTCCTTCCCCTTCCTCCCCTCCAGCTCTTCTCGGCAGGGAATCCCGCGCCTCCCGTCACAGGCCACCCCAAAGATGGACCCATTTAGAGAGTATAAGAATTCAAATGTAATCACACTAATATACAGTGCCAAGGAGTACCCACTCTCAGTCTCGCTCCTGACTGTCCAGGCTTCCAGTCATAAGTTTTCTCTCCCCTCTAATCTCAATACCTATTATTCAACTGGCAATCCCTCGGGTCAACTCCTGTCTGCAGGCAACACGCCAGCTCTACAGCTCTGCCCTCTGCTATCAGCTGCTCCTGGCCTCGGGCTGTTTGCTGTGCCCACCTTTGCTCCGGACTCTTCCCTGAAAGGCAAACCTTTGCGGGAGGAAGATTTAAGAGGGGTTTAAGAAACCAGACATCAGCTGTAATTTAGAAGTCCCACCACGTCAGCCTCTGAAATCTAGAAGAGGATGTAAAATAGCACTACTTGAGCTGCAGGGGACAGAGGGACCGCGTCCCACAGTTCCCAAGTTCCCAACCCCATCAGGGTCCGCATCCTGCTGTATAGCCTCAAACGGGGCTTTGCATTTTAGAGGTTCTGGGGCCAAAGTCCCCTGTGCTTAATGACACCCCCTGATGCAAGAGGAAGGAAAAGCACAAAAGTATCATAAAACCACACTCAAAAATAAAGATACCCAAGTGCACTAATCCAAACAGACCCAATCCTCTTAAACCTGCAACAAGCCCCAACTGACACAATTATCATCTAATTACACACCACACATGTTACAAATAAAGTTAGAAATGTCAAGGCCAGTCTGGAAATAAATGGACCAATAATCTTGACAAATTAAAATTTCTCTTTTGGCATAAATCTTCCCTTATAATATCTTAGATATATGTGTATATTCCCCTAATATCTAGCATATAGTAGAATTTATATGAAGTAATAATTTATTTTTAATAGGAAAGAACATATGTGTCATAGGACAAAGTTATAAAAGCAGCATTCAACAGACCTCTACAGGACTGTGCCTCCGGAATTGGAGACAGGAGTCTCAAGACTCCTGTCAAGAGAAGAGATTTAGATTTCACCCATCGACATCAGCCCTGTTTAAGAGGCTGGAGAAGACGCACAGCTCAGGAGTTCAATCCTACGGGGAAAGCCCGCATTGCATATACATGAAGTAGGACAGGATGAGAGGTATTTAGGGATTTAAAAATCTTCACAGATTCAGTATGTGGACTGAGGAGTACAATTTTTAAAAGCTGCTGCAAATTTGGAGCAGTAGGAAAAATTGTGCTACCCTGAACAGCAGCTGGACTTTTGAAGAACTGCAAGAAGATCAAAAGGCCAAAATTTTCCAAAAAGCAAAGCCCTGGTATTTACTTAAATGACAAAATGTAAATAATAATAAACAGGATCAGAGGACTTGCAATTTATTTGCGGACAACTGTTTCATTTTTGTTCTAAATTCAAGCAATGCAAAAGAATAATACTCAAAATGCTTATGAGACCAGAAGTACCCCTGAAACAAAGAAAAACTGCGTAACAGCAAACACCAAAATCAAACTAGGAAAAGATGACTCTGGATATGGTCTCCATGATCCTATAGAGTACCTGAATTATGAAATGTACAGTTCTGAGCACTGATTTATAAACAAGTGAACTTTACAGAAAATAATACACCTTTCAAAACTCTAGCAATTTATAGTTCAGTAGATTTAGCAAATCTCTAAGTGGAAAATACTTCTCAAATAATACTTGTCACTTTATTAATAGCTACAGAGACATGAAAATACAACCATGAAACCTGATGAGGTTTTGCTTTTTTTTTAAAGGTACTATGACATGTATTATAATCCTTATCAACAACATTCAACTGTAGCAATGCTTTCCGTTCTATTCCAATTCCAAGAGAAGAAAACTTAGTCACCTGCTGTGCATATTGTAAAGACAACTTGAACTGAATCAAAGAAGAAGAACATAACTAGGAGAGACACAGACGCTCCGATTGGCAGGAACAACGCCTGGGTAGAATCAATGGTTTGAATACCTGCAGAAGAAAGAAAGCGACATTTAACTTGGGCCGTTTCTTACCACACACATACCGACAGCCTGTCCCCACCAACACAATTGAGGACTCGGACAATGTATTCCATTTCAGTTCTGGTGCAGTAGATATTACTTTGAGGTCCTCATGCACTATCATAACCACACACAGCAGTTTGTGCAAAACCACGCCGGCTAAACTGCACGACCGTGTGGCTGGGTGTGCGCAGCAGCAGCCCCGCTCAGCACAACCCACGAACTGAAAGCTGAAAGAAAACGCATGATTTTTATTTTGTGCCCTAGATAGGATGAATAAAAAGTTTAAAAAAAAATTATTTAGGGATTAGGAATCATACAGTAATTATATATTTGCTTCATTTTACACTGAGCAACATAAACGTGTTGAACAGAGCATATAAAAGTTCTACCTGACCTCTCAGTGCGAGGTAACTGCCCAACAGCAGAGCTGCAGAGTTATGCTGACCAAGCTCCTGCAAAGGGTGCCACGGCTTCCAATTCCACTTGGGAGAAGGCCACCATGCACTTAAATTGCATCACTGATTGCAATCACCAGATAACATCAAGCCTAACAATAACAGGCAGTTTTCAAAATACACCCAAGTCATTTACCTGTTACATGAAACCACCAGCTCAGTTCAGCGTGCACGATAATTGCCTTTTATGCTGAAAGCTGACAAAAATTTCATGCTCACATTTTATAGCTGGAAGCAATTTTAAATAGTGCAGAGATACTGAAGTATTTTATTCTGATAATTCCCCCAACTTAACCATGCAGTGTGACTACCAGGGATATTCATAATGGGACAGGATATTTTTTCCTATATTTTACTGTGAGTTTTTAGAATTACTAACAAAATTGAAAAGATCAGGCTTTGAAAAACCCACCTATCTCCACAAATTCTAATACTCAACCAGTCTCTCCCTTTTTTACAAAAGGGTAAAGTACAATGTAGATAGCCCAGTGATGGCAGTGCAAAGACACCGAAATTCCTGTGTTCTAATCTGTGACTTAGCTCCAGTTCCTTCTGCTTTGAGAAGGAGCATTTAATTCACATGCCCTTCAACTTCCCAAGGAAAAAAAAAAACAAACAAAAAACCAAAACAAAACCCCAGAAATGACATACTACAAAGCACCTTGGCATACGGGAATTAGTGCCTGCAGTGTTAAATGTGAAAGTTCTTCATTTCCTTTCTGATCATTTTGACAGTTAATCCCCATAATGTGCCTGTTCCCCAGCCTCAGACTGCCTTCCCTGACTTCCCAGATGCCAAAAGCCTCAACTGTTTGTTGCTGAATCACCAAGCACAGCAACCTCTTTGCTCTGTGTTGTCAACAGAAGCACTGCTCTGACAAACATGTACATTTCAAGAGTCTATATTAAGAAAAAAAGGCAAAAAAACCCAAAAGACACTACAACATATTATTCATTTTATAATTTTTAAACTGTATTTCTTACTTTAAACAAAGGAACCTTAGTGTTCAGGGTTTTGTGCGCAGGGCTGCTCACATATCTCACTCCTGTCTTCCAAACTTGATGAAACTATTCTGTTTAGCCTGGAGAAGAGAAGGCTGAGAGGGGATCTCATAAATGCTGATCAACATCTACAGGGCGGGTGGCAAGAGGATGGGGCCAGACTCTTTTCAGTGGTGCCCAGCGACAGGACAAGGGGCAACGGGCACAAACTGGAACATGGGAAGCTCGATCTCAACATGAGGAAAAAATTCTTTACTTTGAGGGAGACACAGCACTGGCACAGGCTGCTCAGAGAGGGTGTGGAGTCTCCTTCTCTGGAGACATTCAAAACCCTCCTGGATGTGTTCCTGTGCAACCTGCTCTGGGTGCCCCTGCTCTGGCAGGGTCTGGATGAGATGGTCTCCAGAGGTCCCTTCCAACCCTGCCGTTCTGTGGTTCTGTGATTCATTCTAGAGCCACCCTGCCGAATATATCCATATAAATTGCTATAAATTAAACTCAGGTGTGAATTTACAGCACATTGTGTACTACGCATTCCACTCTAACTGTCCACATACGTATTTTTACCTGCAAAACAGTGCATTTCAAATGGCCAAGCTGTCTGGAATCTATTTATACATTACAGAGGTGACAATCACCATGTAGGAGCTGACATGTTAATCCCCACTCTGAATAGATTGTGTGTAGACACATATTTTATTGTCCATTATAAATGAGTTGCCCAAAGCCATGTGAACTCTATACTTCAATTTCTCTATTGATAAAGCTGAATCATCCTTATGGACTTGTTAGCATACCATGAGACCTCTCATTGCTTACGGACTGGCTACTATGTCATCGTGATAAACTCCAGACAAAGAGAAATTACATTCCCTTCTCATAACTGGGTGGTGGTTTGTTGTGTTGGGTTTTTTTTAAGTAAAGCAGTTTCCATTTCCAGTAAAAGCTGACAAATTGTGCAGTGTGCAATTTCTATGCATTATGGAAATGTTACATCGATGTTTTAAATTTAGCTTCCACAGGCAGGAACTACATAGCAGTATTAGTAGTGCATAGTAAGACGGTAAGTGCTGAGACAAAACAGTTCCATTATATCAGGTGAATCTACAACCCACTTAGCTGAAACGCACAGATGGATGGAGCAAAAGAAGATGCAGCACACCGAAGTGATGAAAGAAAGATAAGGAGTAAAGCTAACCCTTACTGTTATTGGTGCTGTTGCCATTAAAAGACCCAGCTGCGCTGCTATTGTCTTTCTCTTTGTCTTGATTCTCAAAGTCCATGTTAAGAGACCTGCAGGAAACAAAGCAAACTTAACAGGCAAGTTTCAAACGCCTATTTAGGCTCATCAGCTACGGTCTCATTACTGCTCTAACACAGCACCCTCTCCCTGAAATAGCCCATTAATGCTGGTTATTAGAAAAAACACCGTACACGCTGGAAAATAAAAAATAAAAGAAGCCATAATAGTTACAGATGAGGCAGCAAATCACACAGGTTCTAATAGTGAGACTAATCACCGTAGTGTCTGAACCGGTAAGTGTTAACAACAAACCGCAACAAAGATATTTATCTGCATTACTGGCAAGTGTAGAACATGATGGAAATGCAATAAATGTTTCAGTTCTCTGAACTCTTACAAAATATGAACTCTTTCAAAATTCTCATTTTGATCCTTTTCATTCAACTATCAGGTTTCACTTTTAAGACAATATTATTTCCTTCCTCTACATCTTGTTATGAATGATAACGAAAACTATCTTGTAAGTACTTGTCTGCTGATTGTCTGTCTTAAGTGAAAAGTTTCAGCAAAGCCTAGAAAGGAACCAGATAGATACTTTAGATACAGGCAGAACAGACAACTAGAGGAAGCTCTGAATAAATAGTACGAATTGATACAACTTAATTCATCCATAGGAGCTGACAACATTCCCCGATGTACCCACCTCAGCTCCAATTGATTCATCTTCTCATTTTGATAGCCGCACTTTAAAAAACTTTACAAAATAACGCAGTATTCTACCCCTTTTGCCACAGCCTTTGATTGTGATGCAACTTCTAAATTATATTCTAGCAAATCTTGGCATAACTTTCTGAAACGGGGTAATTTCACTTAAGGTCTGCTTTGGCCAGCAGTAATCGCTGTCGTTAAATTCTAGGTTGTTTTATATAAAAATACTAGCAATCAAGTTTACTATGATAGTTTCCCATTCTGATGCATGCATGTTACCATGATTTAGCTGCAGATTTATTTATTCATTCAAATAAGCTATAGAGAACCACCAGAAGGACCGTACAGCTCCTCTCTTACGTCTGCAGCAGCATCAAATACCAAGTATTTCAGTAAAACTTCCAGGTCAACAGGCATTAAACTCCTTTGCAAGTCGAGCTGCGAGTAACTGTACTATGCAAAGTAAACAAATTTTACTAATTTGTCAGACAAGTAAAGAATACACCACAATCTTCTATACAATTCTATAGGTATCAAAGTTATTTCATTTTAATGTATATGTTACCTACTGCAATGCACAGGTGAGCAATTTTGTGCTGCAGTCACACAACCTGAAATCAAGCACATATAGACCTATAGTACGAAGACAGATGTGGTGTGTTAAAGAAAGAGGGGTTGAGCAGTTTCACTGTATAAAAGAAAAACAACAAAAAAAAGGCTCTTCCAGTCTAAAATGGGTTTGTTTCTTCTGTTTCTATTACGCAAGTGCTCTCAAAGAGTGGCATCAAATTAAAGCAGCTTTTGGGCTCAGGCAAAACATAAGGAAGCTTCAACTTCAGACATACAGTACTCGTACACAGATTGTGGATCACCAACTAAAAAGTTATCAAAAACACAAAGAGCCAATGGAGAACACTAAAATTCTAGCAAATTAATCTGTTCTTCTTAGCTTGTTCTCCGAAAGATCCCCCTGCTCTGTCTTTTGTTTGCAGTGCCTTTATCCTTAATTCATGCTTCCCTTTTCCCCATTAATGCATTGTAGCCTCATCATTTTCCTCTCAAGCTATAAAACTCCAGGAGGAGGCTGACAACCCTCCAGGACTCGATCCAAGATTCAACCAAACAAAATAATTCTTTTCTCAGAGCAGCGTTTCATTCCTCTCTGAATTAGCACAGTTTAGCAAGAACTTCACACCATCATTCTCCCAGTGGCATCGGGCAACTCATAATTTAAGGCATTGCTACCAGCAAAGAAAACTGGAAAGAGACTATTAGATCTACTGCTTGTAAACAACTTCACCCTTTTTCTTTCATGGCAATAGTGTCAGCAGTTACCACCTATAAACATCCCTACCTCAAAAGTAAGCATAAATTAGGAAATTACTAACACTTAGCAACACAGCTGCTCCAAGATAACAGTCTGAATAATCTCCAACCATTTCTCTGCTACAAATTATCAATAACATAATAAAAAAATTGAGAAGTGATCACTAAAACATCCTGCAAGAAAATTAAAAATTATATTGTAAAACAAGGTATACTGAAAACTACTGGACTGTAAAGAAATCGCAAGCTGAGAAACATTTGCTTTTTTTGTTCAAGTTTCTACTGGGCTTCCACAGGCGACATTGAGCCAGCACCTCCCATCGGGCAATAAACTACACAGTTGTTTCTTCTGTGGGTCCTCACAGTTCAAGCTGGTAGGATTTCTAGCACAATGTTTCAAAGCAGGCACGGCTCAGCCTCCCGCGGGGAACCGCGCGGTAGGGTTACACCGAGGCCAAGGGAGTGAGTAAGCTGCTGGCACGTTACCACCACAAAAGTTCAGATTCAACTATGGATCACTTCCACTGCAGTAATGCTCGAGGGACACCCTGCAGGAGAATATTCTTATGAAACAATGGAGAAAATATGAAAGCAAGTACGTATCTATAGAGTCGCCTGCAGATGCAATATATTCTTGCTCTACTTAGTGAGGACAGTCACCCATCTTAACAGCTCCAGGGCTGCGAGAATTGTGGGTTGCCACAGAACTGCCCAATGTCAATTGCTCCAAATAAAAAAATTACAATCAGAATCAGTCATTGACCTGAGAGTTTAATTCAATCAAATCTTAATGCATATTAGAGAGAGAGCGCCTAAAATATGTTCTGTGCTCTAACATTGCTACAGTCGCTTGTAAAACCTTGCTGTGAGATTAAAGGACAAGTCCCAGTGCGAGGTCTGAGGTGGCCATAAGAATAGGGGAAACAATAGCAGAAAGTGCACATAAAAATGTTTTCACTGCCCAGGTGGAGTAAGAGTGATGGAGTAAGAGTGCCCGAGTCCCACATCTCTGATAAGAACATCTCGCCTTCAGCAGGTACTTTTATGTGCGCCCACTTGTGTGCGCAGACGCAGACAGCCCCCAGGAGCATTCGGTGAGAAGGTCTGTCCCAGCCCCTGGTTCCCCCCTGCCAGCGCTGCGGCTGTGGGTGCTTATGAACTCCAAGCACAACCTCTCTTTTTCTAACTGTGAAATATGTATCCTGATTTCAGCAAATGTCAAGTCATAAAGCCAACCGTAAGGACACTGTCTGAACTATTTTCCACTTACACACCTATTTTAGGTACCCAAAGCCTAGAGGCAGAATGCACTGGTTTTATCCCACGCTTCTTGGTTTGGTTTAAAAGCAGATACTTGAACAGATAGATTCTGGGTTAAATCAGGCTTTACATAAGCCGAGAGACCACGTCTGGGTGTGTGATAGGATAGAAAAAGATTTAGCTGTTACCTGCTTGCAAAGTAACCCTAACACTTAAATCACAGAGAAGCACCTGGACAAGAATAGGTGGCTGTCTTGCAAGAACCCATGGAAAATAACCTGCTTCAAGCTAAGTTCACCTCTTTAAAAATCCATAATTAATACATATATACGCATGCTGCAGTTCACAGCCTGTACCTGTTTGAAAGATATTACTGACTGTCAAATGGGCAAGTATAAAAGTATACCAAGTTCAAGGACAAAGAGACGGTCAAAATGTATATGGGAGAGATGTTCAGAAGGGCTTGAAGCTAAAATTCCTGACCAAGCACAAATGTAGGAAGGAAACACTTGTTCATCCACAAAGAAGCAGGAACTCTATAAACTCTATAAACTGCACTTTGTTCTGGATGCGGACTTTACCCACGACCTATTAGACATTCTTCTGAGTATCTTGGGGGTTTGGAGTTTGTTTGTTTGTTTCAGTTTTGGACAAACGCTGCTTGTATGAATAAGGACAGAGGACCAAGGCTTCCCTTTGTTCCCCTGAAACCTCTTGCATTAGATTAGATCCACCACGCATGTGGATTTTATCCTAATGACTCATCCACCCAATTCTTTCTGATCCTATTACTGCACTTCTGTTTAAGTCACCTGCCAGCAATACCACAATAACTCTATTTGCTTCTTTTTAGACTGAAAATCAGAAACCAAACCCACCTTCTGCAACATGAAGGTTATCTAAGGAGTGCTATTTGCTTTTTGTCTTATGACAGCTCCGTTTGAGATGAAGCACTCAAATCTAGATGAAGACATCACTGTTGTCATTTGAGAACAAGCACCCTAAGCCGTCACTTTCATCTTTCCGGGAATCACTTTTCTAAGAAAATCCACCCACTTTGCCAGAAGTTTTTATTTTAGTACTTTAGGAATTTCCAGATGACTATAATTTTGCAACTACTATCACAGTTGAATTTCTTAAATAAGTTCATTGTATCTTAGACCCCTTTATTAACACCACTTCACAATTTTCTGTTAAAAAAACCCTGCTTTTGACCTCACTTGCTGACCAAACAGAATGGGAATTTGTCCAAGTCACCATCATAACTGTGGGTTTCCGCTCAGGCATCTGCTGAAGAGAACTGCATATAGGAAATTAATTTTAAACTGATGGGACCCAATCTTGGTCTGTAATAGCTTTTGCATCTTGGGGTCTTCAGGATACACGCAAAGGAAGCGGACTCGAACAGGGCATTTCCTCAATGGATTTGTGTCCATCACCATTCCACTACTGCATCCAATAAGCTAGACTGATCTGAAGTTTGCAGTCCTTGTTATGTGAGCAGTTTTAAATTTAAATCACAGGATACGACGGTTAAAGAGCATGTGTATATAGGAATAAGACGGAAACCAGCAGGAGAATATTTTTAAGAGCAAGGAGCTCTGAGAAAGGCAGGCAATTTAAGTTCAAGCACTCCTGCTGTTTTATATTGCATTATGTTTCCACAATTGAATTTTAATAAATGCTATGGCTTCTTGCAGCCAGATGCCATTCCTTTTTACACCACTGCCTAAATGCAAATAGTTAAAAATGGGATTAGCCCCTCAACTATATGCTAGGCTGACTCAAGACTTGAAGAAAAAGCTAAAACAAATACAACCTTTTATTTCTTATTTTTTTTAAATTTTCATCATCTTTCAATTTCGTTTTCCTAAGGCCTTCTAATTTAATTCCATCAGCAGTGCTATTACCTAATGCTCTCTAGCAACAACAGACAGCTCTTATAAAAAATTGGCTCTTTCATTATATGATTTCATTAACTTACGAAGGCAATTTAAAACCTCTTATCTTAACAGCTGCAGCTTACATCATATATATGACCATGGCTATCATCTGTTTCAGGAATACTCATAGCAGTTCAGAGACTTCATTGTGAATGTATGGCCTTTCACCATAGATTTGTTAAATGAAGCAATGTTCTTCAAGAAACAGGAAGAAAAAAAGGCTGTACTTGAAAAAAAATACTTTCATGCTGTGATTTTTTTTTTTTTTGTCAGCATGAATCTCAGTTCTTAGGTGCCACTACATTGAAACAAACGGCATAATACAAGCTGCAAGTCTAAAGGGACAACAATGTTTGATCTAAACTGTACTCAAGTCTCCTAGAGTGGGGCAAATTTCATTTTTGAAGATTCAAACTTAACCTGCAGCAGTTCTCAGACACTTTGCTGGAATTGAGCACTGACGGTGTTTCCCACGTCTCTATTAAGCTGTTACTCACACTCAGGTAAATAGCAAGTGGGACTTGGGAATCTCTGTTTGCAATCACAACAGGGACATGCTGAATCGACCAACACAGAAACATTATATATAAAATTCTACTATCGATAACATTACATTTCTATCTCTCTTTACAATCCTTTTATACCCTCCAAAATACAATTTTACAGAGATGTCTTCAAGCACTAACTTCTAAGTTATCTTATATGTGCTTATAACTTGACATACAATTATGTCTTTCAGAAATGCCAATTAGCTACATTTTCTTCCTTTTCCATTTCCTTTTCAGAAGCAAGACATTCTCATTTACATTAGCCATCAGTCTGACAAAGATACAGTGAAACAAAAGGCATAAACATAAACTGTATTCAGTCACTTGCCATATTTTTACTGGAAAAAGAAAAATTCTGCAGAACCTTAAAAAAAAAAATCTTACCTGAAACTGCCGTAGACTATGAGGAGAATAGAAATCAGGAAAGTAGACACTTGACTGGAATCCACAAGGGAATATGCCCTGGAATTGGGAAAAAGAAGGCAGGTGTGTCATCATGAGTGTCCATTTCTCCACTGCCTTTTGCTAGTTCTTTTTCTTGTAATACAAATGGAGAATTGGATGACTAATCTTTATGGCAGCTCTCTCTAAAGTTCTTGTATCATCTAGGAATATAAAACCTGTACCTTGTAAATCAACTTTTTATATTCAACACCGCAGCATGCAAAATCTGTACAACAACGAAAGGACAATTCAAAGTCCTTGTGGTAATTTGTTCTGAACTCACCACAATAATTTTTTTTTTTCTCAAATATATTAAAATTGCTTCAGTTGCAACTAATGCAACCTTGCATGGAACTAACTCTAACCTGTTTTCTGTGAGGTTTCTTATGTCTTAACCAATAATAGTTAAGTTGCAATATGGCAGTCAAGGTTCCCTTAGTCCAGGAAAAACAAACAAACAAATAAAAAAACCCCAAACCCACAAGCTGCAATATGCATTTATTAAACCACACACAATTTCTTCCCCACTGCACCTTGCAGACACCTCGATACAGGATTCCCCATAGAACTTTC